ATATTTCTTTTGGGGGTAGATGCTAGAAAAAGAAAACTTAAGTACTCCTAGGAACTCAACTTCAACTGTCTGGAATGCCTCCACAGGTGGAAACTCACATGTGAGTCTCAAGGAAAGCAAGACACCTCCACTGTTCATGGATACACAGGCCTACAGAAATGATGTTGAGAAATGGAACTGTGGTCAAAATCATTACACTTGCAAAGACAAAGGAGCAAGGGAACAGAGGCCACAATAGAGCTATATTACCAAGTACTTTCTTCCGGTGGTTAGCTTAGGGTGACCATAGCATGAGTGACAAAAGGTCAAAGCTACTTTTACTAAAACTGTAACATACATAGTTATTACAATGTCAGTCGGCCCTTCCTGCCAAGGATGTGTTCTTTGTTCTAGTTTCTCATTCTTCTGATCTTGGAAGTATTTGTTTCTTTCCTTTACTGCCTAGTTTTGTAAAACTTTGAATTATGTTATCTTTGTCCCTCACAAGGATTTTATCCATTATCTTCTAGACAATAGTAATTATTTTAACCATATATCATAGTACAGTCTCTACTTTGTTTCTCTCCTACATAAACTAGTGTCCTTGCACAAAGAGTCATTATAAGGCAGTTATGTATCTTTTTTTTTTGCAGCAATAAACTTGACATGTTTATTAATTAAACTATCACTTAAATAAAAAAAGTGCATAGAAAATAAACATGTTTCAAAACCCCTTTTTTTTACAACTATGTACACTTTTTACTTTTACATTCAGTCTTTCATAGAGAGCTTTCAACATTATTATTTTTTTTAACTATTAAAGTATTTTCCTTCATCCCTGTCACAGGGAGTTAACACTGATGGACTTTAGACACATTCCTTTTTATTTTTTCTTTCCCCCCCAAATCAGAAGCTTGGAAGAACACAAGGAAAAAAATAAAAACAAAAAGATCTGTTATACATGATAAAGTTAAGAAATGTCTTATTTCTGCAACAGAATTTTGTCATCTGTTCAGCTTTTGAAACAATTATTCAACTACCTGTATTTACTAAAGAGACTGGTGAAAGTTCAATAAAAGAAACACCACAAGTATATTTTCTTGGTTGATAGACAAAACTAGAGTACCTCAGAACAAGATACCAGGAAAGCACAGAACACAATTTCCCCCCCCTAAATGCAGGTGGTAATCTCAACATTCATAACCAAAAATGGAGAAACAAGAAGTACAGGTACTGACTGGTAACATTTATGGGCAGAAAAATCCTCAGCAGAGAAGCTCCAGGTGACATGGTTTATGCAATTCTTTCCAACCCCTGGTGTGGGCTGGTTGATGCATCCCTATTAGACGATACTTTTGCAGTTTGGTTGTTTTTTTTCTTTTTTGCCTTTGGGGACCCAGAGGAACACCAGTCTGACATTTTCCAGGCAGTTATGTATCTTAAAGGACTAAGGCTTACTGTGGAGGGAAGAAAGGGGTACTCTGTGAATTAACTCCTTCCTCATTCTCTGATTAGACTGTTGGCACATTGGTACATTGTTTCACTTCTTTTTTAAAAATAGTTTTCTAGGTTTTATTTTATTTTTAAATTTTTATTGATGTGAGAGACAGAATTCAGTCCCTATCCTTATTTTTATTGACAAAATATTTTTTTCTTCCCCCATGTGAATGAGAGATGGTGTGGATAGACTGGATAAGGATCCATATTAGAGTCAGGAAGACCTGTATTCAGGTCATATCACTGACTTGTACTAGTTGTGTGAGCCTGGACAAGTCACAACCTCTTAGTGCCCCCAGGCGGCATTCTAAGATTATAAATTCCAGAACAAGTACAAATATTCAGTGCTAGGAGTTTCCTTGTAGGAAGTTCTGTATATCAATAAAATCACAGGTTAGGTAAAAAAATCAACTCATTGATATATTTTGTTTTTACATCACCTTCACTTCTGAATGTCTTTCCTCCCTCCCCTCCCCAAGGAACACCGGAGTTTGGATCTTTCCTTAGACACCTACTAGCTATGAGACCCTGAGCAAGTCATAACCTAGTTTGTCTCAGTTTTCTCACTTGTAAAATGGGAATGATAATGGCACCTATGGAGATAAAAATGGCACCTACCTCTCAGGGCTGTCATGAGGATCAAATTAAGCAATATTTGTAAAGCGCTTTGGAAATCTTAAAGCACTATATAAATGCTAGTGAATATTATTCTAATTTTTCATGGTATGAACTTTAATGTTAAGGTCATATATACATTTAGAATGTAGTACATTAGGTAGTTTTTTACAAAGGTGTGTTTATTTTTTTTAAAAATACAAACATTTCCCCCAATACATTGAGGAAAACACTCTTAAGAGTTTCTCTCACCTCAGTCTCTGGGGAGAGTAGGCTCAGTTCCACATAGAATTCATCCCACCAAGTTCAAGTCCAAAAGTAACATCATTGACATCAGTCCCTATTTTCAGCTATCACTAGGTTGGGTCCTGAAAGTTACTCTTTGCTCCTTTGAACATTGATGCCGAGCTGACATCATTTTACAGTATTTTACAGTTTTCCAAAAGGTCATTCAAGTTATGAGCCACTCAGAGTCTGAAGTGAGCTTTACAGCCTTAAATTCTTTCCTGGTGAAAAATTTTCAATCTCTGCAAATCACCTGGAGTACACTGGAGTGTGTATGTTTTCAAATTAGCACATCACATAGTTTGCCCTATTCATCTCAGTGCAGGTACCTAAATCATGACATCCTCAATATAGACAACCAAAATGGAAGTCTCAGTCATATATGACACATAGAATATGTAATAGAATCACATATAGTAACCTAGTGTATAGGACACATGCAAAAACAGGCTACACATAAACCACAACAGTCTATCTCTAAGATTACACACTAGAATATACATCAGAGAAACATGTATCAGTAATACAGACAGAGCTTCACATATCAACAAACATATCACTACTGCATTCTCATTAATGCAATAAAGTTTCAATGGCATTGTCTATGGAATAACTACCTATCACATTTTTCTTGGATCGTAAGTTAGTTAGTTGGGTCATTGGCCAAATAATTGTAGAATTGCTACCAGGACCTTCTGAGCTTATGGATGTCAGTCACTATCTATAGATATGCTGGCCTTTTACCTCAATCCTGAGGTGTTAGTGATTCAGGCTGCCCGTTATATCACAGTCTCCTATACGTATCTGCTTTTCCATAGAGGATTCTATAACTGGAATATTAGGTTAAACAGGAGCTACCTGTATATTGGCCTAGAGTCTCAGTCATGGTTTGAGTTGTCTGACTCCTTGGTAGTACTAATGTTGTACTGAGAAATCAGCGAGTTGAGATCCAGGCATAATTTAAGATGTGGATTTATTAGCACGCGGCTGCCAGGGGTATTTACATCCAAATCAAGCAGCCCCCATCAGGGGTCGAGCTAGGGTTTATATAGAAAAGAGCATGGGAAAGAAATGCGAGGAACACTGATGAGGTAATCCAAAGATGCAGGTGTCTTTGGGGCTATGGATGGGAAAGTACAGGGAGTATACGGGACAGGGAGGGGGATGGATCTTTGAAGTCTGACAAGAGGAAGAGTTCTTGGGCTGGTCAAGGACACCCCTCTCCCTCTGTCTTGATAAGAGAATGCTCTGCAACAAGGGAAAGCTTTCTCACAACACAGGAACTTACTGAGGAATTGGGCGGCTTCCAGAGACATGATCTGAGGGCTGGGGCCTCAGCAGCCCAGCTCTGTGTAGCTGTACCAGGGAAAGAGATAAGGGTCATGCTGAGGCCCATGCATGAATAACTGCTAGGCACAGTGTTCTTGGACTGGGGAATGGTTGTCAGAGACAGTGTTTCTGAGACTAGGGAGAAATTGGGGCACAAGTACAAGCACAAGCACCCAAGCACCCCATTATTACGGATCAGAGATCACACAAACCAGACCAGGTGTCCTGGTCTCTGGTATAAACATAATTATCTAAAGCAATTATATTGCAAGCTTTCTTATCCATTTGCATTGGAGGTATGGGCTATGCTGAGCTATGCAAGAGTACATTTCACTATTGTTTAGATTTAGGAGGAAAGAGGTCTGGGACAAGATTAAGCACCAACTTTTGCTTTCCATGGCTTGAAGGGCCCTACTACCTAAATGGCAAAATAATGTTCTGTATTACACTAATACCTAATTATGTCATCGTCAGAATAGTCTTCTGAGCTGTGACAATCTCTACATAGCAGGCAAGAGTGCTTTTCTACTTAGAATCTGTATAGCTGATGGTCCATGACTTTCACTTCAGAAAGTCTGAACAATTCCTCAATAGGAAATTGCTGTTTTCAATAAATTGTCTTTATAGGTCCCTGAGTATCTCTGGGGTATCTTGGAAACAAGCAAGTTGCCTGATCTCTCCATAATTTGGTATGGACTAAACTTCCAATAGTCTTCTATCTTGTGTATTCTCTGGACAGTAAGACTTCTTGGCAGAATTCTATTACTTGGATGAGATCTTGTAACAATCTTACCGCAACTTGTTTCTATCAGAGCTTTTCTGAGCTGAGGCTACAGCTAAGTAAGACTTTTTTAGTCTCTCTCTCAGTCAAGCCACATACTGGGTTTAAGTCTCTACATTTCAATTTTCAGAAACTACAGAGCACAAATCAAAAGGCAAACCTAGTGACAAAAAAAGGTGCAGAAAGAGACATACATTTTTGGGCATGACCATTGTATGAATTTGTTTATGTGAATATGAATTTGTGTGTGTATGCACATATACACACATATATATGTATTTATTAAAAGTTTTTTCCCACATTTTTTAAATGCACAGAAGAAAACAAAAGGAAAGTCAGAAGGAAGCACAGACATATGGGAATTTTGAAAGTAATATGTGAAATTATAACATAGCAATGAAGTAGAGATTAATGGTCCTTTTGTGTTCTGCTGTATATATGAAACTGCTTTTTCTTGTGTATTTAAGTTCAGAATTTTATACAATAAAAAAGTAACAAAATGTGTTTCTTTCAGAGACTTGGCTACAAGGAATGCACTGTCAAGAACGAGATTCCTTGCTCCAGTTCTCCTGGCCTGCTAGGTAGGAAGCCTCAGACTTAATTCTACTTTTTTGAACTGCATTCCCTGGTTAATGGTGCTTGGGTCTCCACCAGGGACTTCTCTTTGGCTTAGGGCTAGCAAATCTATGGAGTTTCTATGTGGTGCCCCATTTTGAATTTCTGGTAGCTAAAGTGTTCCTAGTAATCAGCCAGTTTGAGGTTTCCCAGTTTCTCAATAACAGGTTTTTTTTTTCCTTCCTCCCATTCAAATAAGTGGAAAAGGAGATGGCAGTGGAATAAAAATAAGGAGCAAGATCTTTTCTTTTCTTTAATCTTCCTCTTGATTCATCTCATTCCTGCCTTTATCATGTATAAGTAGCCAGTGGAAGTATTTAAGGGTCTTGGAGCCTGACTTCCAGGCTTATCCAGGTCAGAATCAGTCAATTAATCAATCAGAGATGTAGAGCTGGAAAGGATCTTTGAAGTCATTTGGTCTAACTCCTTCATTTTTCAGGTGAGGAATTGAGGCCTATAGAGGTTAAGTGACTTGTCCAAACAGGCAGTATATGAAAGGACCACAGTGCTAGGTCCTGGAGATCCCAAAATTAAACAGTTCCTTCCCTGAAGGCTTAAACTGTGGATCACTGAAAGGGGTCGTGAGTGGAAAAAGTTTAAGTCCTGGATAGATAACATATCTGCATGGCAGCTAGGGGGTGCACTGTATAGAATGCCAGGCCTGGAGTTAGGAAGACTTACCTTCCTAAGTTCAAATCCGGCCTTAGACACTTACTAGCTGTGTGACCCTGGGCAAGCCACCCTGTATACCTCATTTTCCTCAGCTATAAAATGAGCTAGAGAGGGGAATGGCAAACTACTCCAGTATCTTTGCCAAGAAAACCCCAAATGGGGTCACAAAGAGTAAGACATGAATAAAAATGACTAAACAAAAACATGTACTGCATACACACACACACACACACACACACACACATATATATATATATGCACACCCACACCCACACTCACACACACACACACACACACACGTATGTTAGAAATAGGCTTGACACCAAAAATTTAGTATTAAGAAAATTTATTACAAAGACAGTCCAGAGGATTTAGACGTTTCTGGCCAGAAGCGGGCTCCACCACTCTTCAGGAGGGGTGGGCCCTGAGTGCAAAGGCAAATGTGCTTTTATGCACTTGAATTCGGCACGAAACCTCCCAGGCCTGAATTGGTCCATCCCTTCCCAGGCTACACCTTTCCTTAGATGTTTCCCCTTGATATGCTCAAGTATGTTCCCCCTCCTTTTGTCATAGGTCCCATGACTTGTTAATGAGGCTCTAATTTTATGCGGGGTGTGTCAGATAATAGTAATGAAGTTTATTAAGCAGGCGCACTAACATTTTTCAGGTGTCCTCAGGTTGACCCTAACTGGTCTGAGCTGGCTTGACCCTTGTCTTGATTTTGGGGTCTTTTTGGAACCATCAACTTACTTTTTATTGACTAAGCCCAAGCCCACCTACAGTGTACTACTTCCTGGAGCTGTTGTTCTTTTAATCTCTGCATTATTCTACCTGTGGAAACGTAAGCCCTTCTAACTCTAACATATATATGAACTGTAAAATGGAAAAGATGTATAGTCCCCCACTCTTTCTCTTTGGATTGACTCACCCCATTCTGAAATTATACTGGGAGGTCTGAGTTTCCTAGAGGGAGGTATGCCACAGGGGTATGATTCACTGCTTTCTCTCAGGATCCTAGTGTAGGGAGATAACACTCCTCCTCACCAGCATAGTTCCTGAGCTCCTACCAGTGTTCTTTCCATTACATAAAATAAGTCATCACAACACCATTAACTATTAAACAGAAAGCATTTCTTAAGCAATCTGTCAGAAGTAAAAATAATAATCATAACTTTTATTCAATAGAAGGCAAAAGCAGGAATAATCAAAACATCACAATCCATTCATACACCTAGGTCATACTCTCTCATTGCTAATGAACAAAGTAAGAGAGTGAGCATAATTATAGAAACATAGCTTAAGTGAGGAAGCCCATGTGCCTGGGGCAACTTGAAACTGCATTCTCTGGACTAAAAGTCTTGAAATCTTTGGTTCCTTTTGAAACAACAAGCAGCACTCGAAGCTTTATCTCAACTAGCTGCTCACTTTCTGGGCTTCACTACTCTTTTCTTGAGCTAGGTTGCTTCAAAGTTGACAAAGCAGTAACAATATTTTCTGATCACAGCCACCTTAAAACAAGGCACAGAGATAGTGTTGTGCTGTGTTAGTGACAAGCAGTTGCCTTAATCTAGAAAACTGCAAAGTTCCTCACTTCTTCAAATGCCAAGGAGCTCTGCTTTGTCCAGTCACCTCCAAGCCTAAATGAAAAGCTTGTCTTTGTCTTTGCATCTACCTCTGTTTCTGTCTCTCTCTCTCTCTCTCTCTCTCTCTCTCTCTCTCTCTCTCTCTCTCTCTCTCTCTCTCTCTCTCTCAATCTCTCTCCACAAGGTAGTATGGAGCAATACTCACTGTTGAGAAACTTTCCCCTTTCTCAGGCTCTACATGGCCCTCCAGAGCAATAAGCTTGCACAGCTCTTAGTAGCTCCAGGATTCAGATCTCTTCCAATTACCTTTCAGCAATAACTACAGCCTTTCTCCAGCCAATTAGCAAAAACAAAACAAAACAAAACAAAAAAACCCTCAACCCTCTGTATTCCAACCAGCAAGTTCAGAAGTTCAGAACAGCAAAAAGAATTCCAGCTGGCTAAACTGGGCGCTCTCTATATTTTAACAAACTCACTAATGTCTTCCACTTTCACATTATCCTCCATTTATTTCTCTCTATCTTGTGTACCTAGGAGTTTGAAGCATGTATCAAAAGACTAGGTGGCCAGTTTCTACCAGAAAGCTATAGGTAGATACGATCTGGAATGTCTTACTCCATATCTCCAAAGGAGACTTTCATTTCTGTTCTTATGGAAAGTATACATGGCTGGTGACTGGACAATCATTCCTCCTTTTTCCTATCTTCAAGAGGGGGTATTGGGCTAAGATTATATCTGTGACGTACCAGACATTTACAGTCTTGGGATACAGTGCACTTTGGAGGTTCATAAGAAAAAAAAACACCTTTCTCTCATTCTTCCAGGTGGGAAGTAGTCTGGCCTCAGAATGGGAGGGTAACAATTAACAATTAGCTTAGTCTTTGACAGCTTAGCTACCTTCCATGAAACATTCCCCCCCCCAAAAAAAGGCAATTAGGAATAACAGGCAAACATTTATCAAAACAAGCAGTAAAATAGGAAATGGGGAAATTATACAAATTTTTTCAGTGAGCACAATACTAAAGAATCATCAAACTCTGCAACTTGGGGGCAAAATGAAATCTCAGCTCAACCCAGGGGAGAATGACTTCACCTAAGAAATCCCCTGTTACATGACTAATGTGGAAATATGTTTAACATGATTGTACATTTATAATCTATATCAGATTGCTTGCTGTCTTTGGGAAGGAGGAGGCAAGAAAGGGAGGGAGAAAAATATGGAGCTCAAAATCTTATAAAAATTAATGTTGCAAACTATCTTTACATGTAATTGGAAAAAAATAAAGTACTACTAAGTAGGGGGTGGGAAGAAATCCTCTGTTAACAGACTCTGCCAGTGTAGGTGCTGGTAATCAAAGGTTATATTAAGATTCCAGATTTCTCCAGCTCTACAGAGGTCTCTCTTTTGCCATTTAAAGTGTGTGCCTTCTACTGGTGGAGTTGTGAACTGATCCAACCATTCTGGAGAGCAGTTTGGAACTATACCCGAAGGGCTATTTAACTGTGTATATATCCTTGATCCAACAATACTACTACTATGTCTGTGTCTCAAAGAGATTTTTGTTAAAAGGGAAAAGGACCTATTTGTACAAAAATATTTATAGCAGCTCTTTTTGTGGTAACAAAGAATTGGAAATTGAGGGGATGCCCACAAATTGGGGAATGGCTAAACAAGTTGTGGTATATGATTGTAATGGAATACTATTGTGCTGTAAGAAATGACACATGGTTTTAGAAAAACCAGGAAATACATGAACTGAAGCAAAGTAAAGTGAGCAGAACCAGGAGAACATTGTACACAGTAATAGTAATATTGTGCAATGATCAACTGTGAATGACTTAGCTATTCTCAGCAATGCAATGATCCAAAATAATCCTGAAGGGCTTATGATGAAAAATGCTGTCCATATCCAGAGAAAGAACTGATGGAGTCTGAATGCAGATGGAAACATGCTTTTTTCTTCCTTCCTTCCTTCCTTTCTTCCTTCCTTCCTTCCTTCCTTCTTTTTTGGTTTGAATTTTCTTCCACAAAATGACTAATATGGAAATATGTTTTATATGATTGCATGTATATAAAAATATCTAGTTGCTTGCCATTTTGGGGAAGGGGGTAGAGAGAGAATTTGAAACTCAAAAATTTAAAAAACAAATATTTTAAATTGTTATCACATGTAATTGGGGGGGAATAAGATATTTTTAAAAAATGAAGTGTGTACCTTTGCTTTCCTCTTCTCCTTCTCAGGAACTCTGCTATTCTCCTTTCTGAAGACTCTTAATGAATCAAGAATAATGTTTCCCCATACATGCATAGCCAGTAGCCTCACAGGACTCTCCTTTTAGATCACCAAAACTTGCCTTGGTAGGGGTGTTCCATTTACATGTTTATTTACGTATTGACTCCTCCACTAGAGTGTCTCCTTTAGGATGGAAACTTTAAAAAAAAAACTTTTGTGGTTTTTTTTTTTTGTATTCGTAACACTTAGCACAGTACCTGGCACATAGTAAATACTTAATACATGTTTATTGACTGACTGTTTCTCTCTTGTTGTCCCCCCCCCATTATATCTTATTCTCAAAGCTACTTTCCTGGCTTCTTAGCTTCTAATGTCTCAAATCATAGGCTCCTTATAGTTAATAACTCATCCTTATCTTATGAGGTAAAACTCAAGAAATCTTTCTGTCAAGGGTAACGGAAAGTCCTTATTTAATTTTCTAATTGTTTCCAAACATTATTTGATTTGTAATTTTGTCAGTTATAGACTTTGAAACTCTAAAACCAGTCACACTCCAATGAGCTGATGGACCACAATGCCCTGCAGCTATTGTTAACCTCAGACATTTTTCTGCTTTTAAAAAGGTGCTCTGAGAACATTTATTTGAGGGGCAGTTTTCTATGTGGTTCTCAGAACATTCTGTGTTATCAAAATTTTGTGGAAGAGACTGTTTCTTTATAAGTTGATTTTGTCAGTTTTCCTTATCCAACATTCTTTTTCTGCCTTTTCAGCAACAAAAGTGTTCACATGTGAAAGAGACAGTATCTTACATAAGTATATGCTAAATAAATACAAGGTAATTTATGGGAGGAGGTGAGACATTATCAATTACTCAATAACTAAGAATTTATTAAGAGCCTAATATATACAGCTAGAGGTCTCAAGTAAGGCCTCATGGAGGAAGTGGCCCTTGAGCTCAGCTGTGATGGAACTTGGGGATTCAAAGAGTTAGAGGTAATAGCAAATAATAATAATAATAATAGCATTCATAAATGCTTTAAGGTTCAGAATGTACTTTACATTTATTGTCTCATTTTGTTCTTCACTGCCCTGTGAGGTAGGTGTTATTATTATGCCTGCTTTACATATAAGGGAACTGAGACTGAGGAGCTCATTCAGTAGCTTGCCTAGAATCACACAGCTCAATCTGAGTTAGAGTTTGAACTTAAATCTGGCATTTTCCAAGTCTAGCACTCCATCCATGAAATACATTCTAAGCATGGACAGACAGGCTATGCAAAGTCACAGAGACAAGAGATGGAAATGTCTTGTATAAGGAGCAGAAAGGCTGGTTTAGCAGAACCATTGAGTGCATCCTGGAAGATCACTTCAGACCTAGAATTCTCACCTGGGAAGTACATTCTGCCTCTTTTTGGAGGGTGGAGGACTCTTCTCTGAACCTCCATTTAAAGAGATTTCCCAGGCCAGCCATTTTCCCACCAGACTGCCCTCCTCAGGACTCACTCATCACAACTGCATACTATCTCTTCCTCTCCTCCATTTCTAGCTTCCTTATATATGTTTTTTCCCCATTAGAATGTAAACTTGAAGGCAGGAAATGTCTTTTTTTTTTTCGTGAGGCAATCCAGGTTTAGTAACTTGCCCACAGTCACACAGCTAGTTAAGTGTCATGTGTCTGAGGCCAGATTTGAACTCCAAGGCTGGAGCTCTATCCACCATTTCACCTAGCTGCCCCAAGTGTCTTTCTTTTTGTTTATACTGGTCTTTACATGGTTTAGCACCATGCTAGTCACAGAGTAAGCACTTGTGGACTGCTTGCCTAAAGGGGAGTAATGTATATGTAAGGTAATATCTTTTTAATATACTGTTATTTCATATGGGGAAATTTGTTGCTGAGTGGTCTGCTTTGGCAGTCATTCCTCTGATGGGGCTTAGGTAGGCTCCGAATTCTAAGAGAAACAGTTGCTAGTTCTGACACAGTTGTTGCTAATTTTAAATGTGACAAGTTGTAGCACACTGCACCGATGTGGACACTGGAACTGTTCTCTGCTTATGGGACAAATGTAATTTATCTGATTCTATTTTGAAGATGAGAATTGGTGTAAAATAAATTAAGGGGGTGAGGTCATTCACAGAGATGACGCAGAGTCTGAACTAAGATAAGAGGAGAGACACAGAGGTGAAAAGACTTGAATCTGGGAGTGATAGATAGCAGCTGTTGATGAGGGATCAGCTTAAAAGTAGACAATAAGAGAAGTCATCCAGTGAAGCAACTAGTTTGGCTGAAATTCATGCACAGATAGATCAACACAGAAGCTACATATATCACAACACCTTTTTTTTGTCATTACCAATTATTTACTTTTAGTTTTCAGCATTCATTTCCACAAGATTTTGAGTTCCAAATTTTCTCCCCATCTTGTCCCACTCACCTCAAGATGGCATGCATTCTGAATACTCCTTCCCCTAATCTGCCCTCCCTTCTATCTCCCCCCCTTCTCTTATCCCCTTTCCCTTCAATTTTCCTATAGGGAAAGATAGATTTCTATACTTCATTTCCTGTATATCTTATTTCCCAGTTGCATGTGAAAACATTTTTTTAACATTTGTTTTTAAAACTTTGGGTTCTAAATTTTCTGCTTTCCTCCCTCCCCACCCACCTTCATTGAGAAGCATCACAACACTTTTATGAACAGTTTCCAAACAAAAAGAAGACACTGAAGTTTATATTTCCAGAGTTGTGAATTACTCTCAGCACATGGATTTTCTTCACTCATGTGCCTTCTTGACAGGTTTCTGTGTTTGCCCACTCTCCCTCACAAATATGGAATTTCACTAGTGAGAGAGTGTGACTGAAGTTTATGTATGCATTGTGATGTATTTATTATTCTTGAATTTGTTCTGAGTATCTGAGATACTATTTCTTTTGTAGTATTATTAAATGTAACCCAAACCCCAAAGCCCATTGGTATGGGACCCTCTCCTGGCTGGTGGAGATCAATGACCTGTGCCTGTATGAGGGGTCAGGTTGAGTTGGTGAAAGTGAGAGAGAAGAGAGTCTTTTCAATCTCTTTGGATTCTTCTGGCTACCATCTTCAAGAGAGAAGATGGGCCATTACGCTTCTAGTCACCCCAACACGCCAAGGGAGAAGAAGCCAACATGTAAAACCAATCAGGACTTCATTCACAGCTTGTTACACTAGAGACTTTGGGGTATTTCCTTTTGAATGAGATCTGAAATTCTCTCTTTCATTTGAGCTAAGAGATCTCTTTCCCAATGGGAAAGTTCCTTTGGTTTAGATGGCCTAGTATACATTTTCATATGTATATTTTCTGATTTCTGTTTTAGCATCAACTTGAATAAATGGGCTTCTTTGCTATTTGCTATCTATGAATGTTCATTATGGAAGTGGTTTTTGGTGAGAGGGGGACCAAGCCTTGGATATAAAACTTGGCAGCCCCATTCCCTGGTAAAGAAGTGATTAGGAGTTGCAACTTGAACCTAAAAATTATTTCTCCTTTTATTTTAAAGGAGCAGAGAGAATATTCTAGCCCAGTACTTTTCTCCCTGAGGAGAGCAGAGTGTCAGCCTCTGGCCCCGACCTCCTGCTTCTGTTCTTGCCAGGAATCATAGTCTCTCTTAGAGAAAGGTGGAAGGAGGATGCTAAAGATATCTATTTTTTAATCCTACAATGAGCCATATACTTTATTCACTGTCACATTGAGACAGCCACATTACATTAACAATCAGTTATATTTAAGATCTAAAGCTGTCATTATTTTGAATGGCTTCCTGTGAGTAAAAGGAAGTCTATCCATTGGGGCTTGAGAGCTGAACTGGTGAGTAGGGAAAGTATATTCTCCCACAACAAGATTACACATTGGTTCTGTCTGGGAACCTTCCAGTGTTAGGGCAGTTTGGGATGAATGAGCAAGCCAAGAGAGTGAGTAGATATCTGCACTCCCCAAATGAAAAGTGTGAGGCCTACATTATGGATGGCCACTCCACATATCTGTTATACCTAATAAGGCTGGAAAAGTGTTTTGAAGCCAGATTGTGAAGAACTTTAAATGTAAAACATTGCAGTTAGTATACTTAGTTGATCCTAGGGATAATAGGAAGTCAGTGGAGTTTGTTGGAGGTGACATGGTAAGAGACTTTGATTTTAAAATATCACTGTGGCAGTTGTGTGGAAGATAGGTGGAAGAAGGAGAGATTGGACACATACTATCTATTGCGATCATCTACTCTAGATAATAAGGTCTAAAACTAGGGACCATGGCTAGGTGAGTAAAAAGAAGAAAATAGATGCCAAAAACTTTGGGGAGATGGACTTGATTGGATTTGGCAACTGAATAACAACATTTATTTAGCATGTACCAGGTACAATGCTAAATGCTTTGTAATTACTATATCTCTTGATCCTTACAACAATCTTTGATGTAGGTGCTATTATTATCCCCATTTTATAGATGAGGAAACTGAAGCAAACAGAGGTTAAGTGATTTGTCTAGGGTCCCACAGCTAGTAAGCCTCTGAGGTAGGTCTTCCTGACTCTAGAACCAATGCTCTACCCACCGCATCACCCAGCTGCCTCTGATTAGATAGGTATTATATATGGAATGAGGGTGAGTGAAGAGTTGAAGACAAGGGAAGTTTTGGGAAAGGGTGATGGCATCCTGAATAGAAATAGGGAAGTTTAGGGGGAAAGAAAATAATGAGTTTTGAACTTGTTGAATTTGAGACCTCCATGGAATCAGTTTGAAATGTCCAATAGGCAGTCTAAAGCTAAGGAGAGAGAGCAGGGCTGGATAAACAGATCAGGCAATCATCTGCATAGTGAAACTGCTAGAACCCATGGGAACTCTTGAAGTCACAGAGGGAAAGAATATAAAGGGAAATTAAAAGAGGGCTCCAGACAAAGCCTTTGTGATACTGCTGTGGTTAGTGGGCTGTTGTTTGTCCTTTGTTCTCAAAAAGGACCAAGGATATTACAAGAGTAATGCCTTCACTTGAAGGTGAATTGGCTGTAAGTGAAGCAGAGCAGCCCAGTGTGATCAGCCTCACTCTGTCCTCCAGTCATTGAAGTCCAGTGGCAAGACAAAAGTCAAGAGGACTGAGATGGCCCAGGATGCAGTGGGTGACCTTGGCCTTTTTCTAAATTACGTCTTTCCTAGGTCTCAGTTTGTCTGAGGCAACACCCATTGGGTGACTAAGGCCTAGATAAGAATTGAGACAAAGATGGCCCAATTTACGATCACAAAACTAACAATTTGGATTAGAATGTGGATGAAGATGCAGCAAAGGAGATGGGAAAGAAGTGGTCAGAAAGGTAGGAGGTGAACCAAGTCAAAGCAAAATCTGGAAAAGCCAGAGAGGGTATCCAGGAAGATAGAATGGTCAGCAATGAATGACCAAAAGAAGTGGCCGTTTTATTGGTTGTTTTTGCCTAACCATTTTGCTTTCTTACAAGGGAAGGTTCAGTTGAATTATAGGAAGTAGTGTGGTATAGTGTTCAGAAATGACTGCGATACTTTGAAAAGCCATCAATAAATGTATTTTTCAAAGTGATATTCAAGGGAGGAACCCTGTGCATACCATAACGTTTGACAAGCAGTTGGGACTTAATAAATGCTGATCAATTGAATCTTCAATGATTCGAGGAAGGACAACTGGGCAGAAGAGGAAAAAGTGCGAATCCGTAAGAACTCATGTCTTAAAGGCAACGTAACAGCCTGCTACTAACTATTAGGCAGGATGTTAATTTGAAAATGCTCGGAAGCCAAGCAGACAATAAGGTTTACACACTGGGCAGTCAAGAAACCTGGTTCTGGGAGAAATGGATCAAAAAATTTTGACCCCGACGTGATTTGAACACGCAACCTTCTGATCTGGAGTCAGACGCGCTACCGTTGCGCCACGAGGCCTCGGTGACTACTTTTCACATTCAAGTATATGGAAGGAACAGATGATCATAGCGGTGGGTGGAACTTCTCAAGTCCTGCCTTGCCCTACCCGGCCTCTCTCTCGAGCCCATGTCGGCTGGAGCTGCGGTAAAAAGGACGCAGGCGGACACTAGCGCTTCCGAGGCGGAACGCTCTCCATCCGCGGGTCTCCCAGGCCGCTAACCCTTTTAAAGGCGGCTCAGCCTTTGCAAGAATCGAGCCTTAGGGCGCGCTCGTGCGTGCTGCTGCGGATACGCCCCCCCCCTTCCTCTCCTGGTCTACCCAGCCACTCTGGAAAGGGACCGCAAACCCTGGGGATCAGGATGTTTGTTGCTGTGTTTGTTTTCCCTTCTATAATGTACTCTCCCTCTCCTTACGCTTCCCCCTCCCACATCAGGCTTCAAGGGAGGAGAGGTAAGGGCCAGGTGGGGAGAGGGAAATTAGGTGAGGAAGGAAGAGAAGGGGAAATGGGGAAAGTTAGAAGTCGCAGTTATTACCTGTAGGGGAAACAAATTGGGGGGCTGGAAGGGAGAGGGGAAAGGGTGGAAGAGTGGGAAGAAATGGTCCCTCGGGCACCAAGTAGTTACTAAGAGCCTATCGTGTTCCACTGAACTAAGTGCTGGGGATACAAAGAAAGGCAAAAACCAAATACAAATCATTTTTTGCTCTCTAGGAGCTTATAGTGCAGTGGAGAAGATAACATGCAGGCTTCTTAACCCAGATGAGTTATAGACGGTGTAAATTGAAGGTGATTTCAGAAGGAAGGCCAGAAGGCACTAGAGGGGAAAGTTTCTTGTAGAAGACGTAGGTTTGCGGCAGATTATTGTGCTCAGTAACGGCAATTTCAGTGGTAATCAACTGTGAAAGACTTCTCTGATCAATACGACGATCCAAAACAATTCCAAAGGACTCATGATAAAAAGAAATGCTAGCCACCTTTAGAGAGAGAACTGATGAACTCTGAGTGCAAATTGAAGTATAATTTTCTCACTTTATTTTTCTTGCTTTTAAAAATATATATGTCTAATATGGAAATGTTTTGCATTTCACATATATAATTGATATCATTGCTTGCCTTCTGAGTGGGTGGGGGAGGAGATGGAAAGGAGGGAGAGACTTTGGAACTCAAAATTTAAAAAGTAAAGAATGTTTGAAACAAATAAATTAGAATGGCAATTAAAAAAAAAAGATGTCAGTTTAGCTGAGGTTTTAAAAGAAGAAAACAAGCAGGAGAAGCCAAGAGGCAGAGGAAAGAAGGGTTTCAATGTGGCGGGAGTGGAAAAATTTCAGGTCACAGAACCAAAAAGTCCAGGCTCAAATTCCACTTGTGTAGCTCTGGGGGCCCACGTCCAGTCCCCCATCCCACATCCATATGTGTGAGACTGACAGAGCCAGGAGACTCTGACTGTAACCCAGATCAGAAGGACGTCTGGAAAGTCACCCCTCTGAGCCTCAGCTTGCCTCTGATTCTATGTGTCTTTGTATGGCTCTGAGTTCCTTCCAGCTCTGGTATTCCACCAGTCTAGTGCAGGTCTCTCACTCAAATCCCTCATTTAAAAGAAAAGGGTATCTTGGATATATCTGTGTGTATCTTTCCAGTGGTTTCTAATTTGAAGAAACTGAATGCCAAGAGTTCTAAATTCTAAATCTGGAAAAGAATCTCTTTGACATTCTGCTGGGGGTATTGCTTCCTATTTACTGCCACAGAGGGCAGAGGTTAAATCTAAAACTTCTTTTCGTTAAAGTTGTTTAAGTTCTCTTTTATTATTGTGCTATAAGAAATGATGAATAGGCTGACTTCAGAAAAGCCTGGAAAGACTTATATGGTCTGATGCTGAGTGAAGTGAGCAGAACCAAGAGGACTTTGTACACAATAACAGCCACCTCATACAATGACTAATATTGTTAAACTGAACCCTTCTCAGCATTACAAAGATTTAAGACACTTCCAGAGGCCTCAGGATGGAAAATGCTGTCCACATCCAAAGAAAGAACTATGGAAGTCGAATCGTTATCACTTATTTTTACCTTCTGTTGAGTTTTGTTTCATCTTTCTGATGGTTCCTTCTATTGGTTTTGATTTTTACTTACAACTTCACTAATGTGAAAATATGTTTAATGGGTATGTAAATGTAAAGCCTATATCAGATTGTGCACCTTCTTGGGGAGGGTGGGGGGGAGGAAGGGGGAGAAAAATTTTAAACTCAAAAGCATATGGAAGTGATTGTTAATAAATAAAAATAAAATTAAAATTTAAAAAAATTAATTTTTTTAAAAAGTTCTCTTTTAATTGGCACCTAGTTTGCTCAGTGGGTAGAACTCTGGACCTGGAGTCAGGAAGTCCAGAGTTTAAATCCTGCCTCAGATATTGTCTCACACTGTGATCACTTTGACGTCTGTTTGCCTCACTTTTCT